TTTTTAAATCTTTTGTAACAATGTATGGCTCAAATATGTTATTTCTAACTATTTGTTTATTATATCCCCAGGGGGGCTAGATCGAAAAACAACCACTGAACTAATCAACAAAAATTAATCAAACACCCTGTTGCGTATTGGGGGAAATTATGTGAAGTAAATTCAGATCAGTAGCACTATAGTGACTCTGCTACAGTTTAATTGTGGTTCCAAAGCCCCACACACTGAATGCAGGGTACAGGGCCTCTGTAAACGCGGTTTGGGTTCTGTGCAAAAGCTGCATGCCATCAGAGACGCTGTAAAACGCAAGTGTTCCTGCTGCACGATCCACGTAGACGCCAATACGAGATGACCTCGGAGCTGGGATTTCTTTCCTCTTGTTATTGTGCACAAAGGAGAACTGGGAGTCAGAGCAGTACAGACTCCAGGACTTATCGTTCCAGCCCAAGCTGCACTCATTCCCGTTCCCTTTGCGGCGGATTCCCCTGTAGGTGACAGCCACGTCTACCTCTGTTCCCCTCCAGTCCATCTCCCAGTAGCAACGAGTCCCAGTCAGGCTCTCTTTGCACAATACCTGGAGTGGAATGGATGAAATAATAGATTTAAGACTTGAAACTGTTTATACGTGAGTTTAAATGAGGACTCACTTGCTGCATGATTGAAAACAGATTTTTTTGTTATAGCTATACAAAAAATCATTTTGGAAAAGTTTTTCAATCATTACAAACAAATGTAGAAGAGAGAAACACATTTTAAAAGTAAAAACCATTTACCCATAAATAATTCTTGCCTCAGGAGAGTTATTTAAAGAGTAAGATCTCTGAAAGCAAAGGCTTATTTTACTGCTAAGTCTCTAAACAGAATTCCTCTTTCTGGATACAGTCATAATTAGGGCTCTGCAGCATTAACAACAGATCAATTTCCCTCCCCCGGCACAAGATGGCGTTCTGGCAGGCGACAAATCCTCACCTGCTGCCAGTGGTCGAATCGTTCTGGGTGGTCTGGGTAGTTTTTGGGCTCACTCTTCATCGTGGCTGTTCGGTTTCCCTCCGAGAGGTGAAGGCTGGGGTGAACGCTGTTTACGTCCAGAATCAACTGGCAAGAGTCTGAAAATATTGAAGGACAAGATTATCATCCATCCCTCCTTGTGTTGTTATTATCTATTATCATATACAGGTATGTCTCATTGGATTTCATCCTGAAGCACAGAATTTGTCAAACTTTATCTTATGTGTTAAGGAAAGTTAGCCAACTGAAACCATTGGCCGGCAACTCCCATGAAGGAGTGAAAGCAGCAACACCTGTGTTTGTTTAAGTTTCACCAAACCTGTTCTGCACAGAACATTCCTTATGTAACTCTAGTTTCACCCCAGTGAGGCCATGCCTCTGTTAAGGATGGTTACATTAATGACACCATGGCTACACTTTTCAAGCCTGAAGTTTAAGATCACTTTTAAAAACTCACATTTCAGGAAATCTTCTCTTGTCCTCGGTTCTTCTCTTGTCCTCGGTTCTTCTCTTATCCTCAGTTCTTCTCTTGTTCTTGGTTCTTCTCTCAGAATAGATTCTCTTCTTGTCTGGGTCTCCCCTTCTTGTGTGACGTAGACTTCTTTCACTATGAAGACACGTGACAAACACATGATGAGCTTCATGAAAGCAACAGCAGATTTAAAAAAACAACCACTTGTGCAGAGAGACAGCGAAGCTTAATGAAACAAACAGGGGAAAGATGAGATTTGTCCACCTGCTCCTGAGATTTTGCTCATTTCATTCTTGCTGACTTCTTCAACTTGTACTTTCAGAGCAGCGATGGCTCTCTTGGTGGATTCAAAGGAGTAGTTGGGAGCGACAGTGATGTTGTTGAGGTCTTCATACCCAGAGGGTCCTGACAGAGACTGCCAGCTCTGATAAAAACAATGAGAAAGTGGAGGACAGAGATGAGAGATCTGACACACGGACCCTGATTTTTGCACCACGTGTTGGAGGCCTTGTCCGAGATCTCACCTGTAGAAAGTGTATGTGATCATCAGTGTGCGAGAGCTTCTCCAGGTCGTTGTGTTTTTTCCTCAGCAGAGTGATCTCCTCCTCCAGACGGTCTAGCACTATGTCAGCCCGTGTCACCGTGATCTTTTCGTGGGAGCGGACCATCTCCTTGACTTCATTGTACTTCCTCTCTATGGAGAGCAGCAGCTCGGTGAAGATCCGCTCGTTCTCCTCCAGGGCCGACTGAGCAGAGTGCTAATGAGTAAGATGTGGATAAAAAAGTGATTATTTTTTCAAACAGGCAAATCACAATGATTTGTTCTTAGCATCATGTAGTTTGACTAAGATTGAGATTATCAGTTCTTGCTTACTTTAACTGATTCCACAGCTTGTCTGAGATCCTGCCACTTTTTGATTCTCTGGTCAATTCTTTGTTGAGATTTGTACAGCGTAGTACTAAGTTGTTTCTGCAGAGAAAAGGACATTTTTATATTTATTTAATCTTTGTGTAATGTCATTGAGATTGTCAGTCTCTCTTTCAAGACAGACCTGAGAACAGGAGACATTCACAATCAGCAAATAAATACAACACAATAAATGAACAAAGAGTTCATACATAAAAGCAACACAACAGCGACTTTTCAATTAAAAGAATCATGACAAACATCAGACAACAAAGATTTACAATAAGTATGGGAAATGTGAGACTGCATTGTTGGATTGCAGCTGATTCCATTTAATATGTGCATAATACCTGAACACAGTTCTGCCAACATTAGTGTGAGAGTAGGTGATATATCAGGTGATGTAGTTACTGAACTGTATACTTTAGTGACTATAGTTTGAAATGAGAGGTGAGGTATTTGGAAGAGTTTTATAAATGATTAACATAAGATGTCTGTTTCTTCTTGACTGTAAGGACATCCATCCTAACAGTCATTAACTTTCAGTCAACTTATCTGTGCTACCATAAATAACCTTTCACATCTCATTGTCTTCAGCAAAACTTAAGGTTGACAGATTGTTTCCACCACTCACTTGTTTCTCCGTCCTTTCAGTTCCAGCCGGGACGATGTCGTGATGTTTGTGTTCATCCATCATGCACAACACACACACTGATGTGTCATCATTGCGACAAAAAGCCTCCAGTAGCTTGTCGTGCTGCGCACAGAGCTTCTCCCTCATCTGACCTGTGGCTTTGACCAGCTTGTGCTTCATCAAGGCGGGATAGTCATAGTGGGACTGTAGGTGAGTCTCGCAGTAGGACGCTAGGCACACCAGGCAGGACTTCTCGGCCTTCTGCTTCCCTGATGTGCAGAAGTCACACAGGACTTCCCCGTGCTTGGCCTGGGCCCTAGGCTGGCTCCGACTGGTGGAGCGACGAGATTTCTCCAGGATGCTGCTTCTGTCCAAATCCAGAGTGCTGGGGTGCGACATTCTTCCTACCAGGAGTAAAAAAAATTTCAAAACAAATTGAATCCACAGGTGATTTAGCTCAACAGCAGTGTTTTACCCTCTTGGTAAAATGTATTGAGATGAAAAAGCTGAAAAAAAGACTGAAAAGAAGCAGGAGAAGAAAAGTAACGAGGTCCAGAAGTGAACAGCTTCAGTGAAACTGTGTGACTGACGCTGGTCGTGACAGAATGTTAGCTATGTGCTTTCCTCTCATTGTAAAACCAGTATTCCAGGTTGGTTGTTTAATTTACAGGGAGTGGGCGCTACTACACATGTAGTGTCTGACACAAACTCAACTGAGAGAAAGAGAGAAAGAAAGTACTAAACAAAATTTTGGATAGATAGATAGATAGATAGATAGATAGATAGATAGATAGATAGATAGATAGATAGATAGATATTCTTTACACAGAATAAATACAATTTACTGCATATATAAGATAAATAATAATAACATATTGTTTGTATTAAAAAATATATGCTATCATATAAATGTAGTGAAGTCTGGTTGTAGAAAGTAACAAAAACATTTACACATGAGCTGGGTTGCTATTGTACAGTTTTGAGATACTTGCACTTAATTGAGTAGAAATATTTCATGTTATTTTTTGGCCACTTCTACTGAAATTAGTCTTGACTTTATCAGCTGCAACATTAAAGTGAAGTTTTTAGATTAATGTATCTATAATTAGTCCGTCTGCATCATGGGTGCATTCATTTTCCTCAAAGTGTTTGATGAAAACTTGTTTAGACTATCACAAGTTAAGTTTTGGATGAAATTATTTTACTTGTTAAAAAGTATGTCTACAGTATGGTTACATTTAATTGAGTAAAACATTGATAGGGGAGTGGAGATAATAATAATTAATGATAATAATATTTATTTACAGAGCACTTTTCAGAATCTACATGACAGTGAAGTGCTTTACAATGGCATCAAAATAAAGCAGACGAATCATATGATTGATAAAAATAAAGCAGACTGGTCATAAAATACTCAGCAAATAATCCAACATGGAAACACGTATATGTTAAGTTAATACACTTTTAATATCTGCACGATACTGTAAACATGCTAACTTACCTTTTATATAACTAACTTCCTTATTTGCTCCCCTCTCACCACTGAGGGCAAAAAACTAAAATAAGAACCATTGTCATACCAAAGTTTTTCTTTCTGAGATCTAACTTTTCTAGCACGTACCACTCCGAAGCTTCGTGGGGCGCTAGTGGTTGTGTTGCCGCATTGAAATGACGGGTTGCGTTCGGTAAAGTGCGTCGGTCGTCCAACGTTGGCGCCAGATGAGCAGTGGCGCCAGCTACACACAGAGGCAGAGAGAGGCGAAGACACACACACACACACACACACACACTCAGTAACACACAGTAACACACAGTGATCAGACGAGGCTCACCACAGCTTGTAAAGATCTCTCCTCAACCCGGAGTTTGAAGCAATTATACGATTCTTCTTCTTTTCCTCCCTCCATCTCTCTAAAGACGCATAAGGTGGGTGTGTGCATGCAACGATTTACACATTTGGAGCCGGCGCTGTGTTTACGCGTGGCGATTATTTCACCATTTAAATTCAACTTGCGATACCATGAGCAGCAGCAGCACTGAGGCAGGAGGACGCTGTTTTAGTCAATATACGCTTAGTTGTTATTTAGCATGCTAGTTAGCATGTAGGATGTTTATTTTCTCTCTTTGTGGTAATAGCCAACTTTGTCATGGAAAAATACAGGCCCTGACCCGCACTGGTTGTTCGTGTCCTGTCGGGAAAATCCAGACAGACAGCGACATCACGTTACTGCACATAATGAACTATTTCAGCTCGGAATCTCATCCAGGTTCGTTTTTTGTCCACTCGACCCATCCGCCTGTTTTGAGGCCAAGTCCAGTTTATCTGTGCAGACTCAACATGGTCGGATGGGCGGTTTACAGCAAAGCTTCCGCTCCAGTGTTCCACGGGCTGGTACCGACGCTGAACAGCGGGCTGTAGCCGTGCTAGCAGGCAGGATTAGCTGGCTCGTTAGCTTGGCATCATGGCTATGTAGCCAGCACGCTAACGCTGTCGAGGCTGGGTAGCTGCTAACCTCAGCAAGGCCGCCATTGCAGTTGTGTGTGCGGTCTGCTGGTGCTGCCGCAGTGAGGGGGAGCTTTAGCCCGGACTGTAGCCAAGATTGCTCGAGCCACCTCTAACTTCAAATCACCACTTATTCTGTATATTTTTATCTGGTTTATGTGTTTTAAACTGTGTCGGCTTACAGATCTGCTTCCTGTGTCCACTCCTGTGTAAGTAAAATACATTTTTCCCGCGCAGCGTTCATCTCCCTCACAGTTAGCCATCTTTGTTTCAGCTAGCCCGCTCCTGGTCGAAAATACGATGTGGCTCTTAGCGTGCTAACATAACTCAAACTAGCCTTCACTGCTGTCCCTGGCGAAGCTGTGTGTTTACTGGGAGTTTGAGGCCGTCTCGGCGATCCAGTATAACGGACAGGCAGCGAGGCTTAATCTGATTTCCGCTCAGTTTGAAATGGCTTCGAGGGGTAGCTCTAATTCAGTATGTTTTGAAGGGCGGAGGCTAACCGAGGTAACGTTAGCAAGCGGCAGCCATCTTAGGCGAGCATGTAATCTTGGCTAGCTGGAAGTGCTGGTGTGGCACAACAAGATGGCCTGTTAATACTCGCACGGAGCGAATTTCCGCGTCGACAGTAGTCCCACAAATCGCATCAAAAATACTGAGCTCAGTTATTCGCTTAAATGTAAGTATTTCGTGATATATTTAGGTCCTGGATCATTATTTGCGCGGTGCTTTTGCTATGAAGCTAGTTAGCTGGCTAAATCGCGAACATTAGCAGCTAACACAATGCTGTTTTGTCGTTAACCAGTTCCCCCTTCCACCATAGCAGCTAGTTAGCTGGCTATGGAGGCTATTTGTAGCCGTTTCAGGAGGCTAGCAACCAAACACTTCAATGTTTGGGGGCAAAACATCAACGTTCAATGCCTCAATATATTACATTTTGTTCTTAATCCAGAGTGAAGAGCAGACTGAACAATAAAGCAGGTTTCTCATGCCAGTCGACTTTGGCTTGCGGATTAATTTTGCTTTGGGAGCTTGGACGAGATATGGTCTGTTTTGATTTTATCAATATTGTTAGCCAGTGAGGAGAAGCTCGTTTTAAGTGCTAACGAAGCTAACAGACAGATCTTAGCTTGCTAAGTAGTATTGTATGTTGTAAAATTAATTTATAAACTCCTCTACGTCAGCACCACAACTTTATTTGGTGTAATTGCACCTCCCACTTAAAGTAATAAAAAAAAAAACTAAATGCTGCAAACTCAGTGGTTTTAGATCTAATTTTCCGTGGTTATTCTCTATATCAGAGGGGATTATTTTTTATCTAATATTAAGGAGATTGTTCATCTATTACATTACTATCATATGTAGTGTGTGTCATGGGAAGGGGGTGGCAAACAATCTTAACTAAAATCACTATACATGTCAACAATGTGCCTCCTAAACTTGACTTTCAGAGAGACCTGCAATTTACTTAAACTCAGGCCCATTGTCTGTTTTTGTCAGGTCTTGGTTGAGAAATTCAGGTAAGTTAAATTGATATATATAAATTGATACAAACGTATGGAGTTGTATAAGAAATATTGTTTGTTCTCCAGACATTTATTTTTCAGACTGCTTGTCTAATTGTCCTATTATTTCTCTTGCCACCCAATTTCACATATTGAAGTAGGCAAGACCAATTACAGCTTTGCTATGATGCTGATGATTTATTTTTTCCCTTTATCCTCTTCTTGCAGGTCTGCTGACTGACAAAAGAAACCGACGCGCCCCACACAAAACAAACCTATATCCCCGATTCTCTTAATAGTAATCGCCCGGCAGGAAAACGGAGGTCGTGGGGTTGGAGTGTGTTCTCATGGCCGAGTCAGAGACTGAATGTGACACACCCGGCCTTGACACACTTGGGTCGGAGTGTGTCATAGCCCACAGCCATGTCGACCTTCACTATGGAGCAGAAACTGAGATCATGACTGAAGAAAAGCGTGGATTAGAGCTGGAGATCCATGGAGCCGACTTAAAGATCCAGGGACTGGGAACGGACCTTGGTGCTGTAGCCTGTGTGGATGCAATTGTAGCCGAGACAGACCATGATTACATCAAGGTTGAACATGGTGAGATGCACTGTTTCACGGGGGCAGAAATCAAGACAACAGGAAGCGAGGCTCTGCTGGGAGAGGTGCTGCTTAAGACAGAAAGCGAGCATGTGGTCAAAGTGGAGTCTGACCATGGCGGAGAGTTGACAGTGGAGTCTGAGAATGGTGTAATCATACATGAAGCCCACGGTCTGCAGTGCAACGAGTGCGGGGAGATTTTTGGCAGCATTGCCGATCTTCACCAACACTTTGAGATTCATAAGGACCTGAATCCTTACATCTGTGTCCACTGTGGTGAGAGCTTCGCTGTGGAGGCCAGCCTCAAACAACACATGAAGATTCACATGAAAGAAAAGCCGTATGTTCCTCCTGGAGTTGAGATTATGGGAAAAGATGTAATCGATGCCTTCAGTCTCAAGTCTCATCAGATGATTCATTTGCCAGACAAGCCCCACAGATGCTCAGAATGTGGTAAGAGCTTTGCTGCTGCCATCACCCTGAGAGAACACATGAAGATGCATTCAGAGGATAAGCCCTACAAGTGCACCCAGTGTAGGAAGAGCTTTGTCCGCAGAAGGCATTTAAAAAAGCACCAAGAAGTCCACGCACGTGAGAAGCCGTACACGTGTGGTCAATGTGGCAAGGGCTTCGCAACAACCTCCAACCTGAAGCAGCACCAGAAAACCCATGCTGCAGTTGTGCTCGGAGACAAACCCCACCGCTGTGCACAGTGTGGAAAGTGTTTTGCGGCTGCTGCCACTCTCAGAGAGCACCAGAGGATCCACTCGGGTGAGAAGCCATACAAATGCAACATGTGTAGGAAGAGCTTCGTCCGAAAACGCCACCTTAAGAAGCACCAGCAGGTCCATGCTGGAGGAAAGCCCTACACCTGCAGACATTGCAACAAGGGCTTCAATCACTCCTCTTCTCTCTCTCGCCACCACAAGACCCACCTGCAGAATCCAGTGTTCTCTCCACCGCAGCCTGGGAAACCCTTGTCTTACGGCACTCCCCCAAAACAGAGGGTGCATCAGCAGGGAGACAAGCCCTACATGTGCCACCACTGTGATAAGGGCTTCAATCATTCCTCTTCCCTGTCTCGGCACCAAAGAGTCCACTCGGAGGGAAAGAGTTACACCTGCGCTCACTGTGGCAAAAGATTCAATCACTCCTCCTCCCTGGCAAGGCATCAGAGAGTTCACTTGGAGAACAAACAGCAGCAGCAGCAACCACAGCCTCCGCAGCCGCAACCCCAGCAGTACACCACCATCCCCACAGGGAAGGCATTCCCTAACAACGCTTTCCCAAAACAGCGCATCCTGTCCGTTGAAAAACCATACAGGTGCACTCAGTGCGGCAAAGGCTTTAACCATTCATCTTCCCTCTCCAGACATCATAGGATCCATGTTGATCAGTGAGCACCTGTTCTATCCCTCAAATGTTGTCCCATCCAAGCGCACACCACCACTCCCCTCCCGTTTCTGTTCCGCCGGTGATCCCATCAACGAAATCGCCCATCATCAGGCCAACCTCTATAGACAAAAGGTCAGGTCAGCACATGGCTACGATGAAGTGGAGCAGTTGACAGTAAATGGACAGTAACATGCGTCTTCAAAGAGAAACTGCTTGGCCTGAAGGACAATGAAACCTATAATTCAGAGCTGATCCTGTGACTATGTGCACAGTTTAAAGAGGGTATAATAATAGAGTGGGAAGGAAGCGGTTTGTGCTTCACTTGCTCCAGGAGCTCTTTTGAACACTTTTAAAGAAAAAAAAAATGTGATTTGAAGATCTACATGATGAAATTGTTACCTGGGGAAAATATGCTTCACCCTCTGGCTTTGTATTTTTCAATAGACAAATTCAGTTGATGTACTTTCAGGTGGGCACACATGCTTCTCAGCCTCAACTTTATCCAAGGCTATCAATACAATTGATGAACAAGACTTGTTTAAATTTAAATATTTTTTTTTTCATCCACATAATCCATCTAAAGCAAATGTCAAAAATCCAATGTAAATACCTATTGATTTTCTTTTATATATATGTATAGGTGACTAGTGTGCTGTTCCAAAAGATTACATTTTTGATAGTAAGATCCACTTTGTCTCCACCCTTTTTTTTCTTCTCCTTTTTATGACTTTAATTTGTTTTAAGTGTTGGAGATGAACCGTGTTGCAGGTGTTCTCATGCAGCTTGTTCTTGAATTTGGGCTCCATCCAACATGAGCCATCTTGTATATTTATGAGGTTGTTTTCTTGTATGTCTACTATGGGTTGGCACTGCTGCATAGTCTGTACAGAGAGCAATACTGGCTCACCCCCTGGTTCTATTGACATGCAATTTAGCCATAAGAAAATGCATAATAGAAATAAAAACCTACTGGGTAGCATATTAAGACATGACCCGTGTCCTAATTATTTACTGTGCGGTTTTTCTCTGTACCCCAGCACCAAATGTAACTGAAATGCAACACCACACTTTATTTCTTTGGAGACTAATTCAATGACCTGTGTACAGAATATAAGTAACACACACACGTTGATCTGCAGATTGTCACGATTTGATCTAAAAATAGATTGTGTATACTAAAAGACTACGTGAAAAATCTCACTTTTACAAGATTTTTTGGAATTCCAATGGATGGCGCTCTATTTACTGTTATGTGTAAAATATCTTTTACAAACTGATGTATTTTTTTAGATATGGCTTGGGCTCTATGAAAGGGAATGAGAGATATACAGTTTTTATGGGAGTGAACATTATAGTGAGCAATATTTTCTTTTCATTTGGATAACAATTGTGCTTCAAACTGTAGCATAGGTTTCTTCCTTGTGTTAGATAGGTGCCTTATTGCATGCGATGTAGAAATGTATGCTGAGCTGTTATTTGAGGAAAAAAGTTAGGGTTTCCAGGAGTCTTTTGTTCTTATTCATACTTACTTACCCTACATTTTAATTTGATGTCACTGATACCTTTTGCTTTCATGTATATTACCATGTGTTTACACTGTTACGACCATATTGTCTTTACCCCCACCCCTTTTTTTTGTCGATGGCCTCATTGTAGAGACAAAAATTGTAAATCATCCATATAAGCTTCTCTTAAGGGCAAATCCTGTAACACCTTTTCCCAATTTCTGAGTGGCACATTTATGGATAAATAAAGGTTGTTGACTCTCTTGTGGTGTCCGATCAATGTAGTGCATCCATAAAATGGGAAAGGCGTCAAACAGAGCTAATTAGGTCTTATTCGTTCAATATTTATTAGGATTACGCATAATTTTTTAAATCCTGAAAAATAAATCACTGAATTTTGTGTTGCAGTGACACTGGGTCATATTTTCACTATATGTCTGCTCTGACCTCGTACATCCACAGTGTGGCCACATGGTGTCACTCTTTACCCATGGCATTAATGGTTTGATTACAGATGTGGTATGTTACTAATGCGTATTTCATAAGATCCTAATATAACTTCAACATATGACTAGCTGTGTTTTCACTGTACACTCATATATTCAGTTTACACTCATTTTATTCAATTTTTTTTACATTTCATTCACATTTGTATCGCATGTTTATTTCTTTAGCAATGTCTTTGTTTCTGCATTGTGGGACCAATAAAGGATTATTTTTGTCTTAATATCAACGACACTGAGCCACTCTGCTGCAGATAAAGCAGCAACGTTTACCTGGGGAAAACTAGGGGAATGTCCTGAGTTAAAATGTAAACATAACATGATACCAGGAAAGTTCCCATCTTTCACTGTTTGACACTCCTTTAGAACTGGAGGTCAGACTCAATGTCGGGATCAGCTGTCACCATATCATTAGGAGATAATAAAACCTTATCAGTCATGTGGGTGAAAAGTGACGTCTGGTCTACAATGGTGATGGGACTTAGATGTGCTTTTATTTCAAGCTGATGAAACATCCACCATTTCCCACCAACACATACAATGACATAACCAGGTAAACTTTACAAATATATGTATTTTTAATTAATTCTGTTAATTGCATTGAGCGATATTGTCCAATAAAAACAAAAATGCCTGTTTAACGGTTTGACAAAGGCTATAAAAGTATTATTGAACCTAGGACAATATTGCATTCTGAGGTTGATGTGCCAATACTAATAGCAAGTTTAGTACAGCACAGTCACACATACTCATGTTGTTTCTTTACAGGAGCAACATGACAAGAAAGACACCTTGGCCAATGCACACGATTCTGCAGTAAATGCAAGAACATGTTATTGCTGTAATGAACATTTTAACCAATGAGACATGTAGGGAAAGAAAACTATATTTACAACAAAAAAACTGCAGATACACATGTTCAACAGCGCATATACGAATAGATAAATCATAGCATATTACCTTTAAAACTTATTTACAAAAAGAAAAATATATTTACTGTACATCTGTACACTGGCCCCTGTAAGGTAGGTTCCACATTATGTGGAGGTAGGCAACAACGTACGAACCCTTCTTACTGGGTGTGTTTCTAATGGAGCGGTTTGCATAGAACTTCACATTCAAGCACTCGGTTTTCAAACTGATCAGCGTGAAGAGATCTCAGCCCGAGCAGAGACCTGGACCCGCTATACGTTCATGACGGGGGTCAGCTGCAGCAGTGAGCTCTGCGGTCGAATGGTGCTGCTCTTTGAGTGCAGTTTCTCCAAGTTTTGCAGAAAGCCTCTTCTCTTGAGACCCTCTAGAATGTTGGTGTTGCTGGAGGCCAGGCTGACGCGGGTCCTGTGGGGAGGGGAGAGTAGACGGGGCAAGAGGTTGATATTTTCCGAAAATACGCCATTTCTAACAAGGTGACGCGTTCATGCACTCCATCCATCCACCTACATAGGAGAGTGCACAACGAGTTCAATGCCAGAATATAAGTCTTTTCTTCCTCTTTGATAATAACACAAGAATGTAAGTACTGCACAGCAATTACACATAATTATCAAAATGACTCCCTTATGTCCAAATACTGGATGCTGTAATTGGTCATGAGGTGTTTGTTCAGCTTTATTGCAATTTACTTTAAACGAAAAAAAACACTAATTGGGAGTAAGGCCAGCCACAGACATGTAACCTACAGGTTAACTAACCTCAATGCAGTGTTTATTTTACCTGTCACTAAACCTCCACCAGAAGGAGGGAGTCTGGTGTGGCCGCAAAAGATTTTTGCCCAAGGTGTGAAAAGCAGAAAAGGGCTGACCTGAAGAATGAGCATCTGTGCTAAGGGATTAAGAACATTTATTTTTCCTCTACATAAAACCTTTTCAACAGAAGGTGTCAGCTGTCTCACTTTCACAAAGGTCAATGGCTGTGACAAGATACCCCTGGGCTATGATGAAATATCAGTGTCTTATTGCAGCTAATATGAACAAACTCTAAAGACAGGCACTCACCGAGGAGAATCGATACCACTGTCTCCTGTGATACTCTGGTTTTCTCCCATTTCCCCGATCTCTGCCCTTCTCGCTCCGCCGGGCATGCCCACAACAGCCCTGCGAGTCGGAGGAACACACGTCTCGTCAAAGTCGTCCTCCCCCGCCTCGACCGCCCAATGAGCAGATTCGCCGTCGCCCTCGTCAGCAGACTTGCGTACGGTCTCTGTGTCTGACTCGATCTCGCTGGTCTGGCAGTAGTCGAAGATGCTGCTGTCTGCAACTTCAGATGGTTCGGGACAATCCAAATCGAGATTCATCTCATGGGGCCTTTCCCCCTGGATGGACGTGCCTTGCCTTGGGCTGGATCCACTTTGGGCCCCTGGTGATCGAGTCTTCTGATGGTGATGACGGAGCCTCCAGCTGGTCTCTTCAACTCTGGCGGGGCTGAGGGAAGATGCCCTCTGGGTTGCTGGGGGGATGAGATCTTTCACAGTGCTGTCCCCTGAGTCTTGTGGTTGGTGGAGGTTGGAGTTGTAATAGTGACTGTGGTGTCCCTGATATTGCAAATCAGATTCACGGCTATGATAAACCAGCTGGTGACCGCGGTAGTCTGCTCTGTACGCATTTGTCACATCAATAATCTCCTCCTCATTGAGACACAGGGAGCTGCAGGCGTCCTCGTCCTCCCGCTCGTCTGCTCTCTCATAGAGCCTGTAGTCGTCTTCTATCAATCCATCAGCGTCTGTTATGGAGGGATTGCTCTCGGCTATCAGCTCAGACCTTTCTCCCTGGCTCATGACCCTTTGTTCTCTACAACTGATAGAGACAGCTCTGATTTCCTGTTGCTCCTGGGTGGCTGGAGTATCACAGGTCTGCTGATGTGAAAAAAGTTCATCAGGCCTTGGTAGATCATCCCTCTGTGGGTTAGAGAGTCTGAGCGAGTGTTTCCTCTGCAAAGAGGGCTTGGGCCAGGGCAGTGTTGTGTCATATGAGTGGTTTACGACAGGTGTAGGGAGATTGCTCTTAGTATTTGAGTATTGCTGGTCGCTAGACAGGCTCTCAGCTACAGTTTGGTCTGGCACAGTATTGTGTTTGACCTCCTGAAAAGGTGCATTTTTGCAGTCTCTCTCCCAGCTTTTCTTGCCAGTTCCCTCCCTCTGATGTCGGACCTTGTCGTCTATCCGGAGGGTGCTGCTCTGTGGGTAGGCTGAGCTGTAGTCCAGCGGGAGCTCTCTGTTGAGTTTTGTGTCTGCTTGGAGCAGATGATCAACAGCGAATTCCTTGTCATGCACATAGTCGTACCTGTCGTCAGATGTCGGGGATTTCCCTACGGGCTCTCCGTCTGTTGCGTTAACTTTGGCCCGATGCGGATCCCAGGATTTCGAGCGGTGACTCGTTCGCTCCTTCCTGCCTGGCCCCGAGGCCTTGCCCTCTTTCACCTCTCGTCTTCTCTGCTCTCTGTTGGTGGCGGGAATAGCAGCATCAGCCGGGTCTTTGATTGGCTGGGTCTGGAAAGGGTTTTCAATGCGTTTCTTATAAAGAGATTTTCCCTCGACAACTCCACCTTCTTCCACTTGATCTGGTTCATCAACAGGGATTTCCACTCTGAGCCGAGTAGGGATCAAATCGTCCCCCTCTGGATAATTGTCCGCACATATGGGAACCTTACTCTTAACCCTCTCCTTCTCTCTTTCCCTTTGCTTCTCTCTGGATGAGTGGGCCCTCCTCTTGCTGCGTGAAGCCTTCAGAGCAGATCTTTTTCCTGCCGCTGCCTTAGAGGAGTGATGGTGCCTGGGTTTTGAGAATGCTAGGATCTCAGTGGACATTCCCTTGTCTACTCCCTTATCATCTTTATCCAGACCCCTCTCTAACACTCTGTCTATCCCCCTCTCTCTCCTCTCCTCTAGCTTCTTCATTAGGACCGTGTGGCGAGTCAAATTGTCCACCGTCAGCTCAGGGTTGATGCGTTTGATGATCGCGTGCTCTAGGTCACGAGGTAAGTTGTTCAGGTCATCCTCGTCTCTCACTGGCCATTCCTCTGGAGGAAACTGACCTGAGAAAGATGCATATTCTTTCTTTGGCTTCTCTTTCTTCCCTCCATTCCTCCAGAACATACTGAGACCAAACTTCCTCCCTGGCTTGTTGTCCTTTTCTTTGCGAACAGTGGCATTAGTGGAAGCTGTATTTTTGCTGATCTCACTTGCCTGACAGTCTGCGGCCGTGGAGGTGGACTGATGCTGCACCGTGGGTTTGTGATCCAGCGGTCGAGGCCACTTCAAGCTCTTACCTGTGCACTCACTTATGGAGACAGAGACCGAATGTTGGTCTGGGACAGTGGATGGAGACACGGTGGCTGTAACAGTAGCAGAGGTGATATTAGTGGGTGTTTGGAGAGGGCTGAAGCAGCTGCAGGACTTGCAGTGTGCCACTGGGAGTGACTGGGTGCTCTCCACGCAGGCATCGTTGCTCAGTAGGTAAGTAATGGGAGGAGGAGAGGGAGGGTCATCTGCTGATCCAGACGTCCACCAACTCTTCTCACGGACGATGTTGTTAGTGATAAAATAGGTTTGAGGAGTGACGATGAAGTAGCCCTCGCCTGTATGGTAAATCTTGCGTTCCTTGATCAGAGTGCCCAGAGCATTATAGAGGATGTCCTGAGTGGGGATGGTTATCCCTGAGACACAGAAAGGCAAGTTTAGGACAAGAGACTGGCAAGAGAGAAAATAGTTTCTGGTTTAGGGATAAAGTTAGTCTAATAATACCATTTAACATATGTCTTCACCTGCGTCTGTTACACATGAAGCCAGCAGCCATTTAGCTCTGCCCAAAGACTGAAAATGGGGAAACAATGCACCTGGCTCTATGCAATTATGACAAAACCCAACAAGATCAATAATTGACACAGTACATTTTGCTTTTTTGAGTCAGGCAAAACCAACGGGGGTTTTCATTCCAAATTATTTCTTATTACTTTGCCTGTTTTCTGTCTGGCCAAGAAAACGTCTGGCACGTAAACTATCCTACAATAACAAACTGTAATTATCTTCGTCAAGGAGGTTGAATGTCTGTATGCGTTTGTCTGTCAGTTAGCAGGATTGCGCAGGAACTATTTCCCACGAAACTCGGTGGAAGGATGCAGTATCGGTCAGGAAAGAAACCTTTCCATTTTGATGGAGATCCACATCAGAGGGCAGATCCAGGAGTTTTTCCCCCACTTTCTTTACCATTGTGAGGCTTTTTTCATATTCACTGATTTCTCTACTCATAATAATAAGGACAAGAAAAGTAATTAATGAATCTATATGGGTATTCTTTTTTGGGGGGCTGAGTTTGTGCAATTGGGTGTGAAAATCTGAATCTATAATAAATTTATAATACATAATGATAAGGGACTGTTGGGTCTTGGAGCGGCTCTGCTCTCTACCTAGTTCATACAATACATTTAGCTTTTTTTGATTTAAGCAAACCTGACAGGGGGTTATGTGCCACACTTTTTCTTAAAGGTTTTTCTGTCTGAACTAGGTCAGTGTTTTTGCTAAACTTGGATCATATGAGCTTTATAAAGCTTGTAATCTAAAACCCTGTCAGAAAGTGAATAAGCACGCAAAACGAAAATGATGAAATATTCCTTTATAAAGAAAGAATTTTATTGGATTACCTGGGTGGGCTTTGCTCATGTAGTTGACAAGTGCCTCCTGGTTGACGATGATTTGGGAGGAGTTCATATCTGAGATGACCGAGCACAACACTTCGGCCAGGGGAATGAACTGAGACTGGGGGACGGGGGACATCTGCACCGGGGACAGGTCACCTGAAACAAACACCAGCAGATGACAGAGTGAGAAACAGGTGGGCCTGCTGCAGTACACACAAACACACCTGGGTTAGAGAAGCCCCTCTCTCTGACTCGTGCTGCCCGCCAGAGAAAACAACTCCAAGTACTGAAGTTGACATTCCTCCCCTAACCACCCTCTAAATCATGACCGAGGTGGTCTATTTATGTGAGTTATATGAACCATGCCTGACTGCTTTTGAAATTCCATCAGTTCTGGGACAGACCACAGAATTCCATTACTCCCACAGAAACGACCACAGCGCTGCCTGCTGGGTAGATCACATATCCTGCCCCCGTATCACACTGCCCCACATGTCTAGGAGGTGCCCTTATACAAACACATCACTAGAAGTGAACTAAGAGAAAAGACAGAAATATTTTGTCTTTGTTAAAATTGCGGGAAACTCGTTGTATTTACATCTACCTCACGTTACAATCCCTCAGTGAGCGGACAATATTCCTCTGACATGCAAACAAAGCACATTAGACAGAAGCCACAAGGCTTTCCATAAAACTAAGCTGCTTTTAAAGCTAAACGGACATTTTAGAGACATTTTATTAGAGTATCAAAAACAATCAAGGCATTTCACGCACGGAAAAACAATTAAAGCAACATGTGGTGCTTAAGTTCATTCAGGAAAAAAAAAATTTTTGTGCAAAGCCTACCAGGAAGAACCCTGGATGCACTGAAATTGAATGTGGAGTTTCACACTGATTTGTTTTCTTTGAGTGTCATCTTGTTCAGAGACAGTTTTTTTTTGCTGTGCATAACTACAGTAAGAATTGCAAAGCCCTGCAGATCAATATTAAAGGGAAATGAAAAGATATTTTCTTAGATCCTGACGACTTTGCAAATCTTTTTTTTTATATACAAAAGATCATTATCATTCAAAATACTGAAATCACTGTCTCCATATTATCCACATGAACTCCGGAAAATGGGGTCTGGAGTTTGTCTTTCACATGTGCAGCAAGAGTTTGTCCACATCAACAGAAAAATAAACACAGCTTTCAGGTGAAGGGTGGCGCCTGGGTAGAGCATGCAGGAGGCAGCACATGACATAAAAACTCCTGTGGAAATCACACATTTTTTATCATAGCACATCGAAACTGGCGACAACCCTTATCACCAAGAGCACTCAAATCTCATTGTCTTTCCAAGTTGCAAACTTCGTCTGCGTCTTCTACATGTATTGCACCTCTTTGTTTTCTTTCTGGGTTTTTTTGTATGTTGCATGTTAGAAACGTCATCAACGCAACAACTTGCTAACTAATTCTCCGCTGTATTCACACATAGGCTTATTTGGATATTCTACAGTTTTTACCAGGTGGCTGTCAGGGAAAACTCTGGAGAATGTCCGCAGTGACTAGCTCGGACGTTTGCATTCTCACAGCCCCCCTGCATAACAACAGATTATTCAATGCAGCTCTGAAAGCAGCTACAAAGCAGAGATAGTGATGTTTACTAATGTGAAGTAAACTGAAAGCACCAAAACACATCAGATCCCATTGCTGATGAATGATTAGCATCTGGGCTGAATACACACAAAAACTCCCCTCGTAAAAAACAAGGGCAAAGACTTAACCTTACCCACAGGACTGGAAAATTGGTTTTAGTTAATGAGCTACACTGCACCAGTGTCAGGTTCATAAAGAGTGTAAGTGGAGATAAGTTAATAAAAATAACTTGACGTGAAAAAATGGTCCATGATCACACTCCACCTGCTATATTTTATTAATAATAACAGAATCCGATATAAGTCCAAACATGAGTAAAAAAGTTTTTTGTTTTTGACACATTGGCCCCTTGTGATTCCACGTTTCCAGTTGTGTAACTGTGTGAATTCACTCTTCACCATGTAGAGTGTGTGAGTGATTCTCCCATCATCTCCAGGGCTTTCAGTGAAAACACCACCAGGCTCACACTTGATGTAAACCAAACATTTACAACCGTCACACTTGAACCACTTATGTCCGACGCAGGAAAAATAAACAACTAATCAAATATCTGCCATGGTGAAGCGTAACAGAACACACGCATACCGCGCTGATGGATCCAGGCAAGTCTACTGATGTTTGTTTTATTTGACAAGAGATGTGTATACACCCAAATGGTTTATTACAACCAATGAAGCCCCACAGGCTGACGAAACGGAGCCTGAGCCACCTATGACCTGCCCAATCACCAACCCGCCCAATCACCGTAAAAATAGTCGCTTCATTAACTCTTTCATTAAGTTTATATTTAACATATTTGTTTATATGAATGGTAAATGGACTGTATTTGCTTCTCCAATCTTATCAATCCCTCAAAATTCTTAACAGTACAAACCCCATTCATACAAAATTCTATCACACCATTCATACAATGTCAATTTGGGGTTCAGTATCTTGCCCAAGAACCACCGACCCTCTCTCCCTCCTGACCCACACAAACATGGATATTTTAACAAATCTTTTATCTCAGAGCTACAATATTAATTTGAACTGGGGGAATGGCTCAATTTATTAAACTAAACCATACCTACATTTTGTTTAGATGGTGATCAGTTAACAGTCGTTATATTTAACTAATCAGTGAAGGAGAAAAGGTCAATCTATGGGAAAATAGTCAACAAAAAGAAACCAAAATCATCACAGACCACCCAAAAATTACTTGAACCTAACTTTAGAAAAACAGCATCCAACTGGCAACTTGGAAAGCAACTAGGTGGAAAATCGCCCAATCTGGCAACACTGACCACAGTAATTTTTTAACTTGCTGAAATGAATCAAACTGATGCTCATTTGTGTTCAGTTAAATTGAAAACGCACTATTCTCTGTAAGCAATATGTCAAGCTCGGTCAGTAAAAAAAAACAAAAAAAAAAACAATTACCAGCACAGTGAGCTCACATGAGGCCCATAAGTCTCACAGACAGAGGTCTTTCTTTGTAAAACTGATCCTACGACACACAGAGGGATTGTAAAAAAACATCTGCCTTCCCCCAGCTCCAGCAGAGGACGTTAATCTGACTAAACCTCGGCACGGATATCTCAATAACTGTCTCCCTGGGCAGTGAATTAATGCTGCTGACTTTTGCTCCTCATTGTTGTTGACTTCCTATAGGAGCAGCAGCCTGTCCACATAGCAACCACTTAAACACAGCAGTCAAAAGGTCAGCAGGGACATGGGCTGGTCAGAGGGGAGGAAGGCAAATAAAATATTTTGATTACAGGGACTTAATACACTAAGTAGTGAAGAGCACACACCTCTGCCAAGGCCCAACAGCCCCCTAAACTTGAAAATGATGAAAAACTCCTTATCTCTCACTGATAAGGACAAATTCCTGGATTGCTGATCCGGATCCACAACAAAAATGTATGGATTTTCCCTGACCCATCCTTCCACTAAGATTTGTGGTCAATCTGTCTCGTGGTTTTTGTGGAATACTGATAATGACCTCCTTGGTGGAGCTAATACACAAAGGTAGTTTGGCTGCATTGACCATTATCTCCTCTTCTCTCACCACGTCCTGGATCAGAGCAGGATATCCTGTCTAACACTGGCGAACATAATCTGTACTCGTAAAGGAGTTTAAAACAGAAATAGGATCAAGCAAGAGCATGTTTTCCCACATACCAGTCAATTCTTTACGCTCTGGTAGTGGTACGGACTACAACATTCAACAGACAAGAGAGACTGGCAATAGGTGAAAAACAGAAGACATTAATAAACCTACAGTGTTTTTATATGTGGGAAAATGTCTGTGTAACCGAAGGATGGGCCGAGTGAAGGATTAGTGTTTATTGAGTCTAACATTAGCAGGCGTGACCACTGAGGAGGTTCGCTGTTGTAACCATCTTCTCTCCAGGGGGAACGGACCTCAGTGTTCCTGTAATCTAACACAGGGCCACCGACATTACACCCTTTGTCATACGCGGCATGAATACCCAGCTGGGTGCCATGGCAACCAAACCCTGTGCCACAAGGAAGGGGGCGGGGGGTAAACAGAAGCTCTGGAATCAAACAAGAGACAGGATTTGCGTCGGCCCAAGTTAGGATGAGAAATAGAACAGAATCCAACAATTTTATATGTCGGAGTCTGTTCACCAGAAAACAACTGTGTAATGTCTTCTCTGGTTCACGGAGTGCTGGTGATGTCACCATGACACCATCAAGGTTATTACACAAACTGGGGTTACAGAATTTTAAAGACTTGGCTGTTTATCAAGCAGGGCAATCTGATATTCACATAAACTTCACACTGTATTTTGAATCTATTTTTCATATTTCTGTGTTTTCAACAACAGTGAAATGTCCAGAGCTTTCAGGTAAGGGGTGGTGCCTGGGTTGTGCAGACAGGATGCATCACATGACCTATAAATTCCACTGCAGAAATCCTTTTTGTTTACAGAGCACTGATATCGATGTAGGGTTTTATTGTCAAAAGCTCTCGAATCTCGTTGTCTTTCCAAGTTGACGTCTTCAGCGTTTTTCTTTTCTGCCGTTGCTTGTTAGAAATTTCATCAACACGCCCCCTCGCTTGCTGTTTTCTGAACATTGTCCCGCTGTATTCTCACATGAGCTCACTCGGACATTCTCTGGACACAGGGGACTGGCTGGAAAAGTTTCGTGAAACTGAACATTTCAGGAGATCATCCGGAATACAGTGCATGTCTGAAAGCAGTTTATGAATGTCCTCCAGGAGTGACTGTCTGAACATGTGTACTCATCCCCATAACCCCTCCTCATCCATAACAAATCAGGTTTCGCTGCTCTATGATGGCTGCCTGAGTGTGGCCATTTGGAAACAATTATAGTTTTTGTAGTTGTTGGACAACATGTTGAAGGAACTGGTTCTGTTTAAGCATAACCCAACTGTAATAAAAGATGGATTGCATTATGGGAAGTGTAGGATCCAGTATTTTTGGAACTTGAACCAAAAGCAGGGACTAAAGTCAGAATCTCTCACCCTCTGTTGCCAACATTGTTTC